ACCTTTGGTCCTTATCTCATCAAACCTCGTTGTGAGCTCATTTAACCATCCATCATAATCGCGAGCTGACAAACCTGTCTAAAGGCTTGCAGAGTGTAAGTCACCAATATCCCAACATATGATTCTTATTTAATTGCACCTTTTCCTTCTAGGATCCTGCTCTTGCGCCGAAAAGCGTCCCCAACGCACTCCGAAATTTCACGGAGAAACTCGAATATTGTTCATAACGCCTTCAAACATTCCGACGTATGGACTATGGATCCTGGAGAATAGACTTGGCCATTATACAGCTAGTGATGACAATTAATACCTTTACCTTGCCTTTAGCACATTCATTCACATTTGTATATATATTTGCAAGAGCACACTGTCGATAGCTATAGCATATACTTTCTGAGCAATTTACCATTCAACTCAGGATCCAGTTATGTTTTTGACTTGCCGGCTGTTGGCCATTCCTTCGCATGGCAATATGAGTTGTGGGTTTCACCACGTTTGCCACTAAACCTCATGAGGATGTCAACTTGAAGATGGCCCCTGCTATAATGTATCATTCCTGGATGGTTTGGAGAACAGAGACCACTTGCTCTTCATATTATACCGTACTCTTCATGTTATCTACCCGCTCGTCCCAATCAATCGAGGCAAGTCTTTTCATCTTCCCCTTTGTTTTCTTCCTTTCGTTGATGGTGGATTTCCTCAGAGGAACAATGTCCGTCACGCAGATATCCTTTTAGAAGAACTGGATATTCCGGTTTTGCTTGATTTTCTGGAGCAGGAAAACTCTCGTTCACGAACCACATATGACAGTGACCCTAGCCCCTACCAAATGGACCAACCGAACTTGACAATGCTTCATACCATATGGGGCCAGCGGACTCGGCCGACATCTCAACAAATCATCCATAGTGATGGCTGGGCCGAACAGGTGGGCGCCTGCCAATAATGGGCGCTCCTCCTATTGAAAATAACCCACACTTTGCACCAATGCCATTATTATTTTGCGCTCTACAGGCGAAATTATTTTGAGCTCTGCAAGGGGCGCAATTATTTGCACTCTATGGGGGTGCA